TTGGTTTCAACTGTTTTCCCCTCCCTATTCACCCGACTATCTTTTATTGAAATCTTTTTTCGCGGATAATATTCCAACTACTTATGTTGCGAAAAGTTGCGTAAATATCACCGTTGGCGAGCAGTAGTACTTGCGTGAATCTCGCCGGCGGTACCGTAACGGCGCTTCGATAAATGCGCGGCCGGCAAAGTGTTAAGACTAAAGTGCGGCTTCAAAATTATTGAAATCGGTTCCTTCTTAGCTGCTGGACAATTCAACGAAGGATACAATTTTGTTCTGCAATTGATGCAAAAATTGGATTTAGTCATGGGGTAACAATGTAAGATGTTCGCCAACGTGTAACGCGCAGCGACTGAAGAGATATCGTCGTAGCTTTAACAGTACCAGAAAATCACGAATTGCAAGGAAGGAACAGAATGCGACCTTACTTGAAGAGTGTGAGGAAGAGGAGAGTCTAATGTATGGGCCTGGTATAGCGGATTAGCATGAAACAGCTGTAATTATCCGAAAAATGTTATTTATCTTCACCGAAAACTTTAAACGCGTTTTTCTCGAAACGACGTTTTTCAAATTGGCGTGCAATGTAACTCAAAAAGTATTGAACCAATCGAATTGGCCTTTTACATAGATATTCGTGAACATTTTCTTTATAGAATGAACCTTTTGTTTCAATGATATTGTTTAAATACATAACTTTTTTATAACAATTTTGTTTCTGTTAACTTATATTTAGGTTCATTCTATGCGTACACTCTTAAATTAAAGAAATCTTGTTGAATATTTAATTTCAGACGAATACAACAGACGTTACGTTGCACGCCGCGAAACAAGTGCGTTGCCGCCAGAGTGGGAAGAAGCTCTCATAACATTGTTAGTTGTCATCCTTTTTTAATAAAAAAAATTTTGTTATAAACTATAATGTGGTAATATAACAACCTTTATAATTTGAGAAAGATCGATTAAGGACTTTCTTTAAAAATAATTCTCGAATATTCCTCAATTTTCGGCGTGTTATACCAGGCTCCCCCTTTAAGGGGGAAAACTCCTTTGGGGCTAACTCCGAATCGATCGAAGCGCTGATGTAAACAATTGGACGCTAGTGAAGATACAAAATCAATAATTGGGTCGGCTTGATAATACGACATCTAACAGCAGTACCTACAAATGAATTTTCTTTCCCGTTACCATAAAGTTGGGTTTGTATATCTGCTACGCGAAGGCATTGTTGCCTAACAGTATCGATTTTTGACAATTCTGCCCATCAGGAGAACGATGGAATATTTACGGCTCGTGGCAAGATTTCAATTCTCGCCGAACGTAGGAAAAGAATGATACGACTGAAAGAGATTCGAGAATGAAACAATACTTACGTACTAATGTGTGCAACAATAAACCTTTTCTATTCATACTTGCAATGATGCTAATTTTTTTTCATTAATGAAATTACATACGAAATACTTGAAATGGCATTCGCGAGAAACAATAGTTATTTATAATTTATTGACCTAATTGATGCAGATGTTATATACTTACACATATATTTCATAAAAAGAACGCAAAAAGAACACGGTTAATCGCATACGCTCCCTCAATCTTTTCCTTCGTCGCCCAGCGGAGATAGATTTTGAACTAACAACTAATTGCTGCCGCATGCGTACTTAGCGTATCATCTTCGCTGCACCCGCACCTAGACTGTAATATACCGTGAATAAATAAGCAGCATAGAATTTTGGATAGTGCAATATGAATCACATCGATACGCGGCCTTTTAAACTTTTTTGTCTGCTTCAGCCCACTGTCGGCTAAAGAACGGGAAGCGCACGTGTTGACATTGTCGCTTGACTGTTCTTTCGTCAGGAATGAACGCGCTGCTGAGCGCCGAGCGAGAGGCCGAGGGCTGAACGTGAAAGACCAGCGACCGACGATCGACATATAATGTAAACAGATAAGGAATGAAACGCATGAATGAAAATTTAATCTTTTATAGTTTTCAGTAAACATTCATTAAAGTGTCACTAAAGAACTGATGATCACAGCATCGAACGTAGTTCCTGAAATCGGAAACTTTTATGGAGAGGTACGCTCGAACCAGCGTGATTTTCGTAGGACACGAAGTCCCATAAGATGTTAGGTCTATTCTTATATCTCATCTGTGACATGGCCAAAATGACTGACAAATACCATAAACGCCTCTAGCGGAGAATCCTTGAACTATACCACTGATTATTCCTGAGTCTGGACCAGGGGGATTCCATTGCAAATAAAATTTTTGTAAGTAAATAACGTGTAAGTAAATTCATATGTAAAAATTTACCAATTGCCAGAAGGTAATTGTTCGTGCGTATTAAGATTCTTACAATAGGCAGTAAAACTATTCATATTCCCGTATAAATTATAAATATGTAAATGTTAATAAAAGCGGTGTATATTCTCCCAGATGTAGATTTGATAAACTATTTATGAAACTGAACTACATCTATTCTGAATTTATCTGTTACAACCCAGATAGCACACAGACGGCTTCACGACGGCTTAAAGACGCCTGTTTCAATCGTTCCAGTCGCCTTTCAGGCGTCGTAAATAGCTTACGAACAGCTTAGGCACAGCTTCTGACCGCCTGTGACAAATCAAGACGCCTTCAAGGCGTCTTAAACAGGCCTGGAGTAAGACTGAAGCAGTCTCAATGTCAACTATGCTACAAGAGTTACGTGCAACTTATAACCACAACTTGACATCAAGCATTGCACTAAATTTGACATTGCGAGTTTGGCTGACATGTTATTTACTTCTTATGTAAATCTTTGTCATTAATATTGTTTTTGTTTATTTATTAGTATTATAGAATATAGCATATCAACTGTTACGTTAGTCGTGATTTCGGCCGGTCGCGCGGCCGAAACACGGCACGAACAAAGTGCGTTCCCCCCGGTCCCCCGCCTCCGTTCGCGTCCCCGCGAATCCCTACGACCAATTTTCCGGGCGCCAGGTACGTTTTCACGTACCGACCGATACTTTCCGTGTATCGGACCGAAACCTGCCCCTACCGAGGGGTCGAACTCTACCGAACGACCGAGGAGAAAGCACCCTCCGCCGAATGGTCACGACGTCGAGGGTTTCCAGGGTCCGCAAATATCGGAGCGATAGACTTCCCTCGCGACAAGGATTTCCGGTGGACGACACAGACACGGAAAGTAAGCGTTCAACAGTAGTTAACAACACGAATAACAATTTATTCCGGTTTCTTTCGCCGGCGTCGGACGAGACCGCGTTACAACAGTATTAGGTGGTTTCTCAACGGAAAGACAACAAAGCGGCGGTCGACTATCGTCGCGGCCCGCGCCTTCGATACAACCGGATTCCGGTGTGAGATTCTAGGTTTCGTTATTCCGCGGTCCCCGACCGCTCGAGATGTTTAATGCGAAATTTTACATAGGCGCGGTCGGACGGTACTACGATACCGCCGATAACAAAAGACGATACAATGACTTGAGCGGCAGTCGCATAATTTCTACGTCCTGGAGGAAAGCTGCCCGGAAGTACGATATTAATCTTCCCGAGGAACCGCCGTGGTTCTCCCGCGCGCTAGCGAGATACGATATTCATTCTTTAATCACGAGATAATCCGGCGAACGAGATCTAGATTGCCTGGGGAGAACGGAAGAGAGAGATCACTTACAGTGGTCGATATCACGTCCTTCGAGCTCGCTCCCTTCTAGCTGTCCTTGCACACGCGATACCTCAAATTACAACCTTACGCGCTACCGCTAGCCACTCAAGTGACGATTTCGGGGCTCGACACACGACGCGAGGATCTAGCGGGCCCCCCCACTATCCCGTCTTATCGCCCCTCGTACCCCCCCCCCGTGACTCCTGTGGAGCCGTGCTCCTTCGGCCCAGGGACGACACGCCAAGGAAGGATCCCCTGGCCACGGAAATCGCTTCCTTCGTGTGAGGAGCCCAGTCTGACACCCTCCTGCGTGGTTGCTGCGACTCCTCACGGGTTCCCTGCTCTCTGACTCCTCCTTCGTGAGGTCCTTCTACGGAGGAAGACGTCCGGGTCGCCGATCCTCATCCGGTGGGTAGTTTCCTGTTGCCCCCTCGGCCGACCAAGCGCCTCTCGAAGCCCAGGCTCGATGCGAGAGCAGGCCCTGATTCCTCCTGTCCTATCCCCCCGGGATAGGACCCTTATCCGGTCGAGCGGCCGCTCGACGGGATTTCGGGGCGGTCCCTGTAGCAGATTCGGTGGGTACGGGCGATATTGCGTTTTGGCCCCGCTTTGACCCCTCTCGTGACGGCCCTGCAATCGCGAGCGGTACTCGGCGCGAGATAACCACAAGGTTAATACAAACTTCAACGGTCTTATTCCCCTACAAATCCTCCAGGAGCGCTTCGATATGCTTTTCGTGCAGGCAGGGAGCGGCGGAAGGGCGGTCCGGTTCTCGGTTCTTCCGCGCCCGAGTCAAACTTCGGGCGGGAGGGCGCGGCGCAAAAATACGTCGTAACACAACATATGTACAGACGCGAGCGTATACATTAATATTTATATTAATATCTCATTTTTTGTAGAAAAAATTCTTTAATTTAAACTATTTTTAATTTTTTAATTTAAACTAGTCCATACCTACATCTTTCTTACATTTTATCCAGTAATTATTCAAATATTATTACTTTTATAGAATATTATAAACTTATAATATATAAGAATATCGTAATTGTATATTTAAATATATTTTAATTTTACATTCGAGTACATTATAAACTTTATAACTAATAATGTTGACAAATCATTAGTTATATATAAATTAACACGTTGACTGCCAGCTACGAGATTACTCGTAGTTGAAACATTGCAACATACTGGATTATTTAAATACCTCTACAAAATTTTGACATAAGATTAGTATCACAGTATAATTTAAAACAAGACAAGCAATCTCTATTAATCAAACGCATATATTTTCAAAGATTTATGACTTAAAAAACGAAATAAAGTGTGTCTGGCTACGTACGGCCTTTTTCACTGTGACAGTGAACGTATTATCGCATTAAGGACCGCAGAGAAATCTGTAAGACATACGCCTGGGACCGCACGTTTTTGTGGTAAACTTGTACAACACGAGAAAACTCGTGAGCGGTCCTTAACAGATGGGACGCGAAACACGAGAAAACTCGTGAGCGGTCCTTAATGTGTTAAGAACATATTTAGGTTTCAAATGTTAAAAACCAAACTGACTGTAAAAGAGAGCTATAGCGGGATCTTCGCACTCACATGTAATCAATACATCTCGAAACTTATCTAAAATCTGTAATAATTGAGACCTACGAATATTTTCTAAATACATAATTTCTTCTAAATGATGCCCTCCATTGAAATAACCAAAGCTACACAGCCTATCAAGCAGTTTCCTATCATCAGAAGGAATATCATATTCTTCTGACTGATAATTATATATTCCATCTTCTTTATGAAGATTTAATAACTCTTCTTTTATGTCATTTGATGTTCCTTTTGGAGCATCATTCAAATTCCTTGTGCTACCACATTCTGTGACCTCGTTGAAATTATAATTTGTTTCATCCTTTATATCCTTCAGAAAATAGATGGTTAAGTAATAAATTTTATAGAAATAATGTTTTTGAACTTACCAGAGTTACTCGACCATGCACAGTTGGCATGTATTGTACGTATGTGTGCAATTGTAAAAGCAAATGATTCTTTAATAACCATATTATTATTCTCACTAACTGTGTTTGTTGTTGTGATTGATTCAAAGGATTTAACTTTTGACTTATAGATGTTGGCAATGAAAAATCACTAATAACCTACATTAAGTGATAATTAAAAATTAATGTTGTGTATGTACATATAGTTAATTTTTATATACTAACTTGTAAAAGGCATAATCCTGGAAATTCTTCAGAGAATGTTTCCAATGATTGATCTGAGATAACAGCATCTGGTGATACAACATAAACATTGCTTTCACAAAGAGGGTAAATTATAGTAGCTTTGGCCCAATAAACTAGGTGTCCAGTTAATTGGAAAACTTGTGTAAGTGTAAGATCAGAATCAGCAGCTAAAGTCTGTAAACTTTTCAGTGGACTATACATTTGAATGAGACGTTTAAGAGCTGGAGAAGAATCTATAGGAAGCATATCCAACAAGTCTAATGGTTCAATAAGTAACAATAAACCATGATAAGGTCTCAAACTATTTAAACACCTGTAATAGAATATCACATTTAACATATTACTTTGATTTCTTAAGATTGAATTTAATACTAGCCTATCTATTATTTCTGGATTAATAACAAATCCTTTCTTATGGGATTGATGAACTTTTTGTGGAAGGCAGAAGCGTACTTGAATCCATTTATTAATCATAATGTTAATTATTCCAGATGTGCTGAGGCTACTGAACACAGATTTTAGATCACGTGCAAGCAAACTTCTCTGTAGTATTAACTCATCTGGTGATTCATCACAATCACTTTCACTTTCTGATCTGGATATGTACATGGAAAATTTTTGTTACTTGTTTTTCTGAATTCTCTTCTTCCATATAAAATAATGTAAACAATATGTCCATCTACCTAGTAGCAACTTCATCATGAGTTGAAACCATAATTTTGATTTCTTCTGTTAAAAATCCACATCTCTTTTCTTCATGCCTTAATGCTATGCCTAATCTAAAATAAATTATATGTAAAATCCTCTATGATATAAACATTCTAATAAACATAATGTATTACAAACCTTTTGCTCAAATCATAATAACATTTTACTATTGAATGACTTGCTTGTGCCTGAAGAGCAAACACTATATTAAAAAGCATAGAAGAATTTACTTCTTTTAGTCCACGGGATGGAACTAGAGTTGGATGACCAACAAAGCGAACATCATTTACTTTTAATTCAAACTTTTGATCGCATAATTCTGGTTTAACAGCAAATAATGTTGATAACACTTCATCGGTAACTCCAATTAAATTTCCATTGCTTACATTAGAAGTGGAAAAAGGTAAAGACTGTTAACAAAATGTATTAACCATTAACCTAATTCAATATGTTTAAGAAATATTGTGTAATATACATGTAAATCCTGTATTTATAGTATCAATTAAATTTCTAACAACTTGTGCATTATTAGAATATTTTGTAAAGCTGACCTGCAATGAATCCTCTGCGATAGTTAAAGAGTAAGGATTCTTTCTTTTAGTACACTGACTAGAATCTCGTGTATGTTTTGCCACATGAGGATAACGAAATAAAAGTCTATCACCTTTACTATCACTTTTTACAAGAATTATGCTTAATGGGTTTATTTCCATAATTGTCGATTAACTTATTGATATAAAGATTATAACTTGCTATAATTACTAGACATAATTTATTCAAGTAAACATTGAACTTTAATTTAACTCAAGAACAAAATTATTATAATTTCAATAATCTTACAAATTATATTATTATAAATATAACGGTACTCATCCGTTTCAAAAGTTTTTGACAACTTGACGCGTCAGTGTTACCGGAACCATGCGATCACACGCGGTTTACATCGTGGCTGATGCCAGAACTTGATTCCCCCACTATGACTACCGGCGTCTCCCACTTTACTTCCACCGTTCTGCACACAAGTGTACCTCTAGCCCTATCCATGTGCGCTGCCCATTCGGGTGTTTCCGCCGACTACCCGAAAACGTAAACAATGAGGAAACCTTGGAGACCCTGTTTGAGAATCTCACTGGGCCGAAAATTCACGTTTCCGACGCGACGCCGGCAACCTAAACGCGTCAGCAACAGTCGGGAGACGCAGTTCGTATCCCATTGTGGCGGTTTTACTTTTTATATTTAATTATTTTATAATTTCACTTTGTAACCTCTCAGTAAAATAAAAACTTGAAAATTATTAATTAGCGAGACATTTAAAAAGAAGGAAATAAACTGTTTCCTCTTCAATATTTAAATTTTATATTATATACATACATATTCTGTTATACATATATACAAAAAGTATTCTTACAATTATTAACACTATTGCATGAGATTAAAATGATACGTTATAAATATATCTTCATTCGTTTTAAAGGTTATAGCCGGATCGGGGGTCAAAATTCCTTATTTAATGGCATGCAAAAATTCTGTAAATAATCTGATGGGTAGTATTTACTAGGGCACGTATTAATGATTTTTTTCTGATTTTTCAGTTGAGTATTTTAGTTGTGAAAATTCAAAAACGTTTTCGATTTTTTTTTAGATTTTTGGTAGGGTGCGCCGTCGTTTTAAAAATCGAAGACCGACATTTTCGATGTTTTTTCCGTGAAAAAATAACCTACAGATATTTTAAATTTTTATATTTCCATTATTGGATATTTTTGGTCCCCTTAACCGGCTATACCCTGTACAAAGATCGAAGATATATTTATAACATAACATTTTAATCTAATGGATGTTCCTACGAATCTTTTTATATTTATGTACTCCAATAGTTAAAATAACGGTAACTTCTAATTGTAAGAATAATTTTTGTATTCATAACATAATAAGTATGTATCAAATATAAAATGTAAATATTGCAGAGGAAAAAATTCATCTCCTTTCTTTTAAATACTTCACAAATTAATATTTTTCAAGTTTTTATTCTACTGAGAGGCTACAATGGGAAATTTAAAAATAATTAAATATAAACCACTGGCTGGACACTGGACCACGGATTAGTCATCCGTGGGCTGGACCCAGTTTCCGTATGTTATTTAGAAGAAGCATTGAGAGTACTTCAAAGTTTTTGAAAGAAGCAGTTTATAGTTTGAAAATCCAGTTTACCTTATTTCAAGTAAATTAAGTGTCATAATGTGAAAACGTGCACGGTCGAAAAATCCGATCGCGTCGGAACATTAAGAAAGTCAAGCGCAGCATTCAGGTAGAAACTCCGTCCTTTTTTTCCATACAATTACCTACAGTAACATAAGTAGGGATCGCTTTATGGCTTGGTTCTTTTAAGCATTTTCTTCTTTGCGAATATTCTTGACAATAAACAATAACCTACAAGTCCCAACATGTGGTTGATAGTCGGTCACTTCCTCGGAAATAGTTCCAATAGCAATCGACATTGCTACGAGTACATTCAACGACGGTGCAGTCACATATATGCAAATGTTACATCTTTCGGGGTGTAAAATTAGCTTCAATGTGTATAATTATTGTGGAAAAGAGGACGCCAACGGAGTAAACAAGCTGACTTCAGATAACTTTTCAGTGCTCATTTTTAATTTATTCAAACAGGAATGATCTCTCTACGTTCACACTAACTATAACAGCACTTTTCAGTGCTCACATTTCAATTCATATGGAAAGTACATTTCCATATTTGTAATAAACCAAATAGCACTTTTAGTGCTACTTTCTTCAAAAAATTAACGAAAAATATTCATTCTCTATTTTGAATATTTAATCCCATGTTTTTCTGTTCACAGCCTTCGAACGAGCCAGTAATCATTACTACAATTTCATAAATGCATTATTCAAATATATGTGGAAACGGATGAATATGAAGAAAGAGCAGGTGACTGGCGATGTCTCAAGAATGTCAGATGACAACATTTGGGAAATTGTCGTATAAATAATATATATAGCCTACGTATGTATTATTTTGTAAAAATTGTAAATATCATTGAAATCACATTGTAAATAAATATTTTCGAGAAATTAAAAAAATATTTAATTGTCAAAACCCGCTAGGTTATACCGTAAAACTGCTCTATTCATAACGTTAATCTGTAGCAATCTGTGGTGACATTATGCACACGGCCTGCTGGGTTTATGATATTAGCACCGACGAGGTATAGGATAGACCTATCATCTTATGGGACTTCGTGTCTCATGTTCTGAAATACCGATAGTGTAAAAAGTCAGGGATTTTCTGATGGCCTCTACGTTATGAGAACGGTGAATTTGTGAACTACGTTAAATCCATTCGAGCTCAACTAGTCTAACTTCTACAGTGTTGTCGAGTCTAAAGTACAATGTTATCAGATCATGAGTGTTCGGTACGTCGGAAAATCATCGAAGGGACTATGGTCGTGAACGGATTCTCTTTCGTCCGTTCACTGTAAAGTAGACGTATTAGAAAGGAGTCTTGGGTTGTAGTCCCGACGGACCTATTGGT